GAATGCTGAATGATGGTGAATGATGGTGAATGCTGAATGATGGTGAATGATGGTGAATGCTGAATGATGGTGAATGCTGAATGATGGTGAATGATGTTTAATGCTGAATGATGCTGCTGGCCAGAAATCCTTCAGACTGTATTTAACAAAATTTCCCTTTTATTGGTTCTTTTATAATGAAACAGTTCTGATAAGAATTTTGATTTGTTAACTTTCAGTCATTAATGGTAAATAAACCAGTAAAGTTTTGTTATTCATTTGGTTGAGAAAAACAGGTCTTGACAGAAATCTTGCCAAGGTTTTTTCAAGATTTCTTGAAAATCTTGAAAAGTCAGTGACTTGAAAAGAATGTGACTTTTAAGACTCAGATGTAGATTTTCTTTCCAGCAATATATCATTAAGTTTAGGAAAAACAAACAGGAAAAGGAAACATTTGTGCATTTCTTATTTTGAAATAGAGAAGCTATCATTAATATTCCAGAGCTCCTGTGCTTTAAATGAGCGTCTTGTTCTGGTTTCCCGCTTCCTGTTCAACTTCCTTCCCTCTCTTCCAGCTATGAGGACAGATGCTTCTCCCTACGGTACGTCTGCTCTCTCACTTCCTGTCTGCTCTCTCACTTCCTGTCTGCTCTGAGAATCGAAATCATTTCAGGAATAAAATTATAATATTCTGGTTTCAGGTCAGTTAGAATCAAAGTAATTATTTCTGTTTGCTAAAAGTGTTTAATTTGATCAGGAAAGTGATTTATCTTAGGATTATTTTAATGTAATGAATATTTATCATTATAACGACTCAGTGACTCATTGGTCTGTTATTAACACTAAGGTTGGTTTATATTTGATTCATTAATGTCATTGGGGGATGTTTTATAAAATTAATGTTCTGTTATTAATGTTAGAAAAACATTTCAAAATATAATTTTTTAATTTAAGTTTGCCTTGTTCCTGCAGTAGAACGCAGAATATCATCATAAGAGATTAAACGTAATTTCTATCATTTAATCGTAAATAGAAACTCTATTTTAGTTAATCTGTTTCAAGAGAAGGGGGCGTGGCTTGTAGCGGTAGGGCGTGACCTGTAGCGGTAGGGGCGTGACCTGTAGCGGTAGGGGCGTGGCTTGTAGCGGTATGGCGTGACCTGTCGGTAGGGGCGTGGCTTGTAGCGGTAGGGGCGTGGCTTGTAGCGGTAGGGGCGTGACCTGTAGCTGTAGGGGCGTGGGTTGTAGCGGTAGGGGCGTGGCTTGTAGCGGGAGGGGCGTGGCCTGTAGCTGTAGGGGCGTGGCTTGTAGCGGTAGGGGCGTGGCAGCAGATGTTTATTTAAAGTGACAGCGGTTCATCTGAACAGGCAGAGCTGATCAAACTGAAATCTGATTATCTAACAATAATTTTAGATCCAATATTTAATGGACATGTTTTGACTAGGCCATGAACCATCCTAAGCTGTGGTAGGAAGCATAATGGGAACAGCTTGAATAATTCTCTCCGTCTGTTTTGTCGTCTCCAGCCGACTACGAGTCGATCTCTCTTCATGGAGACGCTGACTCCGCCCCCTTCCACCAGCTGTGCGGCAGCCGCTCCGACCTGGACAAGTCCTCCACCCTCCCCAGGAATTCGGACCTTCGCTTCCAGTTCAGGGACTTGGCCCAGTCCAAGCGGCCGACCTCCACTGTCAGCCTGCTGGCCGACGGCGAGGTGAGCGGTGGCGGCCATCAGCACGCCGCCCACACCGCCACCATCCGCCGCAAGCCGTCCTCCAAGCCGGCGTACCGCCGCGGCACCATCAGTGGCGGCGTGCCCATCCCCATCAGCACGCCGCAGGTCCCGCTCAGGGCCGGGGACGACGACGCCTTCTTCAGGGCGCCCCCCGCTGGCGGCTTGGGGCACAGCAAGCTGTGCACCTCCACCCAGAGCCTCGTCTCCCTGCCTTCTTCTTCCTCGCCGTACTACCAGCTCGTCCCGGGTCACATGCCCGTCCCCGCCGTGCCGCCACTGCCACCAGGAGGTGGCAGCATCAGGCAGCAGCAGCAGAGGCTGCAGCTGCAGCAGCAACAGAACCAGCAACAACAGTTTGAGCAACATGCACAACAGCAGCTGCAACAAAATCAGCTGCAGCAACCGCAGGAACATCTGCAGCAACATCAGCTGCAGCAACAGAGCCAACAGCTGCAGCAACATCAGCTGCAGCAACACAACCAGCAACATGCACAGCTGCAGCAACAGAGCCAACAGCTGCAGTTGCAGCTTCAAAACCTGCATCTCCACAATCAGCAGCTGCAGCACTGCAGCCCAGCTGCAGCAGCCCCGCCGCCCATCTCCAACCAGCAGGACACTGCAGGTGCCGACATGTTGACGCTCATCAGGAAGGTGAAGCTGAAAAGAACCCTGACCAACGACCGCTCCGCCCCCATGCTGCCGCCGCCGGGCCACTGAGGCTGCAGCAGCATCGTGCAGCGGCGGCTCCCCTTCCTCTGATGGAGGTCCATGTTCACATCCTCCTGCTGCTCCGCCGTCAGACGAGTTCTGACCTGCAGTTCAGATTCCCGTTTCCATAGTTACTGCAAAACAAACGGTTCCGGTCGCGATTTCCTTGTTGGGCTGGGTGCGTTTGATTCGTTGCCTGCAGACTTCCAGGTGGGCGGGGCTTAACAAGCTCCTCTGTTTCATGGTTGGTCTTGCTGTGATGTTTAGTTGGTACCGGACCGGTACCCAGGCTAAAACCAGGCTGTTTCCATGGAAACAACCAAATATGGTAATGAAGATGAATGTTGGCTTCAATGTAAACAAACAGGATGAAAGTTCTGCTGTTAGCCAGTTAGCATAGCGGTTAGCGTAGCTGGTTATGATGAGCAGCTCTGACATCGTTTCCTGAAAAATAGTTTTTTAAAATCCAAAACAGAATTCTTGTAGATAATTTAGAGAAATATTTTACTCTGTAAAGATTATTTTGTTAAATTAAGATGATAATGTATCAAAAACATGTTTTGGGTTTAATTTTTGTTTTATTTTTCATGTATTTTTAAATCCTTAGATTAGATTTTTGTTTTTATTCTTAAAAGTTAAATTATGTAAACATTTAGTTTATTTTCCCTTCATTTCTTTGCAGAACTGCTCGACTCTTTAATGTTGATTGAATCGTCTTAAACTGATTTAATATTAAATCAAGTGAATTGATGAGATTCTGCGCTGGAAGGAGGAGCTAAAAAGTGTTTTGCTCAGTTATTAAAGTCAGAAACAGTTGAGTAAATAAAAACCTTTTAATCTTATTTATTCCAGATTTAAAGGATTTATCTGCAGACTTTGGTTGGGCTGAAATAGCTGGTTCTGTTTTCATCCTGGCCCGGTTTCATTAAAGTGGAGCAGCAGATTTCTGAACATTGGAGGATTTTTAGTTTTTCTTCCTCTCAGTTGTTAGTTTAAAGAAATAAATCAGGACTTTTTTGCTGAACGTCTTCATTTTATTATGCAAATATTTTATTTGGTAAACTTTCCTAACTGATTTGTGTTTTACAACGTGGCTGTTTGGACCCGACTCTCTTCTGATTGGCTTTTGGACCCGACTCTTTCCTGATTGGCTGTTTGGACCCGATTCTTTTCTGTGAATATTGGAGCTTCTGTTCCTAGAAGAGATTTTTGTATAAAAATATTTCAGTTGATGTTTTGCCGCTCAGCTTTAAGGAGGAAGCCTGATTGGACTGAACACAGGACGCCGACTCATCTGGTTCTGTTTGGGATCAAGAACAATAATAATGAGAATAATGACTCCTGTTTTTAGTGTTTACTTTGATCCGTTTCTACTAAAACTGGAACTTCAAACTTTTGTTTTGGGTAAAGCTGCAATAAAAACCTATCCAGAATTTTGCCTCCAGTGTTTATCAGAAAAACAAATTATTATTATTATTATTATTATTATTATTGCAGGTTTGCTTCGGTTTCATGACGTTCTTAAACTGGAAAACATTTCCTCTGACTTTTATCTGAAACGTTGGATCATTTTTGAAGGTTTGGTTGTTTCATATAAACTCCAGCAGGACAAAAGTCAAACTTTTGGATCTGAAAATAAATGTTTAAGTTATTTTGTGGAGAAAAGGTAAAGTGATCTCCAGACCAGCTTCTCTGAAAAACAGAACTTTGTGCCTGCAACAGAGGGCGCTAGTCAGTGAACTTAGATGGTGGTTCAGTGAACTGGTTCTTAATTTTAATCTTGTTTCATGTTCAAGTTCACCCCTAGATTATTTTTGAAAAGTTCCAACTTGAACTAGTTCATTCATTTCGGCGTACTGCCAAACTTCTGCCTTCATTCCTAAATTCAGTTTCATCAACAGAAAAGGGAAATTACACAACATTTTTTACTCCATGTAAATATCCATCCATTTTCTTTACACCTTTGTGGGGTCGGGAGGGTTGCTGCTGCCTCTCCAGCTAACGTAACGGGCGAGAGGCGGGGTCACCTGGACAGGTCGCCAGTCTGTTGCAGGGCAACACAGAGACACACAACCATGCACACACACTCACACCTAGAGGCAATTTGGAGAGGCCAATTAACCTGACAGTCATGTTTTTGGACTGTGGGAGGAAACCATCTTTAATTTAAAATATAAAAAATAATAAATGCACATATATGTGAATAAATTGTTGCCTACAGGGCAACTAAAAAAAACAATGAAACAGAAAACAGGGCAATATTTCATCATTTAATATGTCAGTGAGCCAAAGAGCCTCTTCTGTTAGCCTAAGTCTAGCGCCACCTATGGGCTGCAGGTCTGAGGCATTTTGTTAGCAAGTTTTCTATCATTCTTATAGCTTGATAGGAAGCCTGATCCAAACTGGCAACACACATTAATAAAATGGTGAAATAATATTGACCACAAAACACAGAATTTATAAAAGATATCAACATTTTTCCTACACAATCCTAACATGTTTTTAATGTTTAAGAAATGAACGCTTTCTCTTCACAATATTTATTATTTATTTACTATTAATCTATTTGTATGATTTGTTCTTTAAATTATATTATTTTTCGGTCGCAGGAAATGACTGAGGGATGAAGAGGCTGATGTCCGGTTCTTCAGGTTCTGACCCATCCAGTCTGATATCGACCAACTGAATAAAACAGACACATTTTTTAATGCCCCCATTAAACGTCACTGATTGTTTAGCCTGTCTTCCCACTACCGTCTGTATTTTTGCCAGAGGTTTTGCTCCTAGGACGGTGTTTTTATCAGGTGGACATTTTAAAAAGACGCGGGTTGAAAGCAGCTGCGTAGTGTCCGTCGCTAGGCAACCATGACAACAGCGTCACTTCGTGGGGGGAGGGAGGGGGGCTATTTAGGTTCCGCAACGACAGTTTAGCTGAACTTAATATTTCCCATGTTTGGTTTCGGTCATTATTATTAGACTTACTGTTGATGTGTGTGATAGGTGCGTCTATCAGACATTTATAGCAATACGGAATAAATCGCGTCCCGTATCGGTTCAATACGGGCGGAGACAACAACCACCTGCCATTTTAGGCTAACTTAAGGCTTAAGCTAACCTAAAACCCTCCTTTTGATACACTGACATTACTTACCTTCTGTCTTTCAACCACTTTGAAAAGCTTTTCTTCGTCTCTCCAACATCTTTATCCCTCCCTCTCTTCCGTTTTCTGTTTTGTGGCCCGGAGTTTTTCCTGCCGTCCGTCTTTAGCTTCCTGTTGTCAGAGCTCTACAATTCAAATTTAAAAGAAGAAAACGCGCCTCTGCTCGTTCTGGAAGGGGAACCAAGCTGCCTGGATGGGAGGAGAGGCGCCTAATCAGCGCTGTTCCTCTGTTACTGATCATTTCATACACAAACAGCTGTTAAATGCTGACTAGAAAAAAAAATCCCCACATCGTTTTTGCGCCC